GATGGTGACTTGTAGAGAAGAAACTGACGGACCAGTTCTTCCTCTAACATGGTGCTGGTAACAGAGACCTCATTGCCAGTTTATCAGACTGGACCATGACCAGAACAACATGGTCCAGTCTGGTTTCCTCACTCAAATCTATCAATCAGGAGAACTTCTTCTATCCTGCACCAATACAGGCAGAGTTAGTACTTTGGTGGCTGCACTTTGCTTTCTAGAAGGAAGTTGGATCAGAACAAACTACTTAGAGAGAGCATCAGCTCATCATCAACCCTCCCAGTCGGACACACAGAGCTGCACACAGAGGCAGATTTGCCTAACAAATGACTCATGCAAAAGTTGTCCCACTGTGCACAAAGATCACTTCTACTGAAACAGCCGGGAAGATCATTGCTGTGTTTCAACTGGCAACCAAAAACAGCATCTGTGGCATTTCAGCACCATTAAGTGTAATTGAAGATTTGCATGCGATGCATGAAACCAGTTCGATGATCCTCGTTTTCCCACAGACTGGGTTTGATATCTGATGTCAAACTGGCAGCTGATGACAGTAGCAACAGATGGAACTGGACTTAAATGTCTCATGTGGATTTTCTAATTGTCTAATCAGGGGAAACGGCTTAAATTACCACTAAATAACTTTATTACACACACCTGTCAGAAAGTCTGTAGTATCTGGGTTGATGCTTAACAACAGGTCTGATCTGGCTATAAGTAAATAACAGCTCTGGGCAATTATTAACTAAACTAGTAATTTAGATCCAAGTCAGGGCACTGCCTGATTATCAGGAAAATAACAGCTAAATACTTCAGTCTGCTTTATAAATACCTCCCTGCCAAGGCTTGGATATTAAAATGATGGATGAAGCTACACATGTACAGCATAAACACAGATAACTTATCTTGAATATAGACGAGTTTATTAACAAAAAGAAGCTGATATTTTGCTGTCTTATATAACCTAAGTTCAAAATACCCTAATAATAAAGTTGATTATGATCGCTTGTGGTTTGCTGCAGGTTGACCACACAAGCTGGAAAAAGAGGTTTTGATTGTTGGAGCACTGAGCCGTCCTTAGCATCTAGCTTTACCTTTAGCTTATAGCGTTTAGTTTTTAAGAGAATGAGGCACCTTAGCATGTTTTAAGGACTGTTTTATGTAGCTTAGTAGCAAGAAGGGGAAGGAAAATGATTCTTATTAGTCAATGACCTCATAAAACATTGTGTATAACAGACTCCATGGCCTGGTTGTACCCAAGCAGCTTGAAGGATTGAAGTCATATAGAAAGTCATAAAAACAGTGAAATGGACAATAAAATGACAGAAATTGTTTATCCAAACTAATTTATCTCTGCATAGACACATAGCCTCTTACTTGAGTCATGCTTGTGAATCAGGGAAATTCCAATTAATGAAGAAAACTTAGCTTTATTTCACATCGTTATGGAAGTGTGGAGAACCAGGGAACAATTAACTGCTTAGCTAGCAACTTTCAGCATGAGTGCAGCTAACACACGTCGCCTCAGACCGTGAGGCATCCTCTGCTCTGGAACGGGGATGGAGTTGTGATGGCAGCAGCGTTGGTTCAGCTAGGACAGCATGACGCTGCGCTTCTCTTCTCAACTCTGGACTGGAGCCGAGCATTGGCTGCGATTCCTCCCTCAATCAGAGACAATGTCTCATTTGGGGAGTCTATAATTCAAAGATTCCTTCTGCAGAATTATGAATAAACCAGATGAATGCACAAAAAACCTGGAGCACAAAGCCTGAGTTAATAAAACCATTTCTGTAAGAGGATTTCAGCCTTGAATAAAAATAGTTTTGAAGTTTTATTAAACATGTTTGTATCATGTGTTATTGATATTTTTTAGGTATGGACCTCTTTAACTGCTCCAAGCTCCCCACCAACAAAACCGGCAGTAGCATTGTCTTCACCAACCAGGTCCTCCCGTCGTTCTACATCGTCCTCTTCGTTGTGGGTGTGGCGCTAAATGGCTTGGCTGCCTGGATCTTCTTCAGAGTCCCAGCAGATTCTGCTCTGGTGGTTTACCTGAAGAACATGGTGGTGGCTGACCTCCTCATGCTGCTCTCCTTCCCCGTCAGGGTGGCGGTGAAAATGGGCTTCAACACCTGCCACCTTTGGATTTTCAACTGCCGATTCAATGCCGTGCTCTTCTACGTGTCCATGTATGTAGGAATGCTGTTCATAGGCTACATCAGCCTTGAGCGCTATGTCAAGATTTCCCAGCATGCATCTTCCTCCACAAGCACCTCCTCTTTCAAGACAAAATGTAGTGGAGTGTCTGATCTAAATCTTATGCAGAATACCACCTTTGCTCAGGTTCTGGCGGTCCTCACCTGGGGTCTCCTCTTCTTATACTCTGCACCCAACGCCATGCTGGCAACCTGGCCAGCCAAAGACCATAACTTCACAAAATGCATCCAACTGAAGACACCACTTGGTGCCCAGTGGCACAGAGTATCTGTCCTTATTAACATGTCTCTATTCTGGGTAACACTACTTATCGTAGGCTTCTCCTACACCTTCATAGCTTACCGGATCTACAAGACGTACCGCTGCATGCGACGCGACAGCAGGGGCATCTACCGGAACTCCAACCGCAACATCTTCAGCATTCTGGCAGTGTTCTTTGTCTGCTTTGTGCCGTATCACGTCTGCCGCGTGCCTTACACCATGAGCCAGATGTCATCGTCAAGCTTCAGCGAAGGTAACAGTATCCTGCTTCACCAGATCAAAGAGGGGACTCTATTCCTGTCGGCGACGAATGTCTGCCTCGACCCCCTGATCTACTTCCTAATGTGTCGAAACTTCAGAAAGTCACTTATAAGAAAACTGTCCAGTAAAAAAAGGAGGAAGCCCCTGTCAACCAATCAGAGTCTGAGCAACATGTAGAGGGGGGGATGGAGGAATGGATGCAAAGCAAGAGGAGAGACTGAAAGAGAAGACAAGGACAGAGATGGTCCTGGAAGAGGAGGCAATCAGAGCACAGTAGATCCTTGATGACCACAAAGAGTTTGGGCAACATCTTGGCCAACAGGAGACAGGAGGCTGAACATTTTTGTGCACCAATGGAGAAAGAAACTGATGAGGAATCCTCAAACCGAGAACATTGGTGAGGCCAAAGTTGTGGTCCAAAAAACATTCTGGATGGTAGGGGCCTCTATTTAGGGGAAAGTTGATGCTCTCCGTGTCCTTAGAAGAATCTCTTGTTGCACTGATATGAGACATGAAAATACCAACCAAATCAGGACACAGAGACTTTGCATAAGTGGTGACTGAGAAGATATCAGCCACCATGAAGGTTTGACACAATGAGTTTTTGTTGTCTTTGTCATGACTATAAGTCCTGCATGTCCAATATCATGCTGGTAATAAAAAGCTGCCTCATTTCAGAGCCTTCCTTCTGTCTTTTTTCATTTTTGGCTTTAAGTTTAACAGGAAGGAAGCAAGAGTTGGGGAGATCAGTGATGGAAGGAGAGCTACGGGGCGAAAAGGAAACGTTATCAAGAAGGCACTGAGAACCGTAATCTGTCTAAACTGTCAGTTAATCTACATTTCAGCTTTTAGGACAATCAGATAAGCACCAAATGGCTCTTAGAGGCCTGAAAAGTTTATGACATGCAGAAGATGCAGATCAGAAGATTCTCTGAGGAAAGGCAGAGGGCCATTCTCAGAGGTTTCATGTCAGGATTTGAAGTACCAGAAGACTAAAAAGTGGATATTTAGTCATCTGGTTGTTGGAGACACTGCAGCATCCTCCTTGCTGGTAGTCCTGGTGAAGGTGATGTTTTGTCCATCAGTGATGGATCCTGTCTTTACCTAAACCTGCAGGTTTTCTCCAGCAGGTGGAAACTTGATGTCCTGCACTCTAGCAAGACATCAAGAAATCTTTGGAAAAGAAACAGCATCACAAAGGTTCAAGTTTCTGTGGATCTAAACTTTGAATTACTGCTCTGACTGTAAATATAAACTTATTTTGACCAGCAGTCATTTTCTTTAAGGCTTTTTCTGACTTATGAAGGTCAACACTTCTCTGTTTTAGCTGCAGATTCTCTCGTTTTTCCTGCTTTGAACAGTAGCACAAAGAAATAGGCCTCAGTTTTATATCATACATGTATTTATAGCCCATTAAAACAGGAAGTTATGCATATCTTACTAAAAACTCCTGGAAAAATAAAGTATTTACAAAAATCATAATTTGTATTTATCTAACAAAAATATTGGGGGTGCAAGCAGCGATTTTGTCAGGATTATTTTGTTGAATTAAAGTCCTGAATGGTTTCAATGACACATGGACCTCTAGTTTTTATTTCATTTGCTGCCATCTAGTGTTTAAAGTGTGTAACAACATAAACCTGGATGCAGAAATGTTTCTGCTCAGAAGTTTTCCCTCCCCATGAATAGACATCTTCATTAATCTGTATGAAACAAACAGCTTTATTGTTGGGATATTTTTGTTCACATGATTTTACTGGTTCTGTGCGATAAAATCCTACAAATCAACTTCTAAACAAACAATAATAAAATAAACAGACATTCTAACTGTTAGCCAGCCCTATTATAATTATTATATTTGTCACAGTCTTGTTTTTATCTTTGTTCATTTTTCTCATTTTGCCACACAATGGTGCAGTAACGTCCATAACCACCAGAGGGCAGCACGGACAGGTACATTTTCCCGTTTTTTCTCCTGTTTTAAGATCTTTGAATATCAGGTGAGAATCCAACAGATTTCACTTATTTCTGCTTAAATGATCAATCCAATTCAATCACTTAATGTCCTTGACAGGAAGTCAGTTTTGCTCCCAATAACTGCAACATAAAACACCCAGGACTGATTTTGATGAGAACTGAAGGTGTTGGAGATAAAAATCTTCTCTGCGTTAAACCGGCTCCAGTCAAACACATTTACTGTTTCATAAGATTCTGTTTATTGGCTCTGATTAATTTTAAAGTTATTTTAATTTTTACCAGAAATGAAGTAAAAATCACGTAAAGTTTTGTTCTGTTGTTAAGTTTAGATTGTAATGAAAATGAATCTCAGAGAATAAAGTCGGGGCGGTCCGGTTGGTTCATTCAGCTGGTTGGACTCCTGATCTGGACCAGAACTGTTGGGTTTTTCAGCAGGATCCAAACAGCTGCTCCTCCTCCTGCTGCGGTTTGTCTAATCTTGATGCTTTTCCCTGTTCAGGGAGAATCCCTGCAGACTTCCTGGTAGCAGGAATGCTGCCTCACAAACCGGCTCCTCAGATCGGACCGATAAGAAAAGAAAATAAACCTCAACCGGTTTTCTGAGAAACAATCCCTTAAAAATGTTGGGAGGGAGCTACTTTAAGCTAAACTGGTGGCACTGCTGGGTTGTGGGTTCAAATCCCAGCCTCTTTCTGCATGAAGTCTGCATATGACTGTTGGTTGCTTTGGTAACTGCCGGTCACCTTCGTCCCTCTGCTGCCCTCTAGTGGCTGCTCCAGTTCTACACCCATTTTTATTGATGTAAATCATCTCCACAGAACCTCCAGTGCCTGGACCCCTGCAGGGTCATCAGAACCTCACACAGAACCAACCAAGAACCGCAGGGTTCCCACAGTCCGATCAGCAGTTTGGGTCCAGGTAGAGAGAAAACAGTGGCAGAATATCCCGGTTTATTAAAACGTCAGATTGTGTATTTTATCAACTTTCTGGCTGTAGACTTAAAGTTTCTGAGTAAAATGGGTCAAAGTGTGACCTGAAGCAACACAGAACCAGAGTTTGGATCAACCGGCCTAAAGATGGCTTCAGGATCGGGTCCAGTTCACATCTGGCCTCAGATTTAACCAGAACACCCAGAAGTCATGGCGACACCTTAACCCAGGCTTTTCCTCTCAGGATTCATCAGAGAATCAATGCATCAGGTTCAGTTTATTATCAAAGTTAGCATGTAGCGACAGTGGAGGGGAACAACTCCCCTTTAACAGGAAGAAATCTCCAGCAGGACCAGAACCGGGCTCAGATGAGCCATCAGTTTGTTTCTAACAGTCGAGTCTGGAGTAACAGACGCCTGAATGTTTCTGCTCAGGTGTTGATTATTTAAAATAATCACTCTGGTTTTGATTTAAGGTGAGTTAAATCTTCTGTGATGGCCACCAAAGGGTTACATTCATTCCTCTGTGTGTTTTGCCATTAGTCGTGTTTCCACCAGCATTTTTTATGCAGTCTGATAAATGGTGCCGGAAATGGAAAAATTAGAAATAACTTTCTAGTTTCACAAAAACGTTTTTCGGTCACTTGAGGCACTTCTTGGCTTCTCCGAAAAAAAAAAAGTAAAAAAAGACGTTAAGACATAATGTATCTGTGCCTTACCAGAGGCACCAAACTGAGAATGTTCCCCATCCAAACGTCCAGCTCAGAGGGGAGAGTTTCTGCGATGTGGGGTCCAGGATACTTAGCCATACTTCCTGTAGAGTCAACGTCCCACAAAGTCTGCTTTGCCTGGCTGATTCGCTTCACACTAGTAGATGGAAATACGCTGAATTCAAATTTTCTTTCTTATTTGAGAGTTTGCTAAAATTCCACATAACAATTTGATGGAAGCATAGCTACTGTCAGCCAGCAGATCAGCAGATGAGATGCATAGTGATGGATACCTGGTAGCGAGTTAGAATCGCTCCAGACAGCAGCAGGAAGTGAAAACGACGAGTATGGAGCCCAGCGGGACTCCACCTGAAGGACGAACACTAAACTCATCCTGACACAGAGACCCGATCTGCTGATGTTCTGGATAGAAATGATGGGAACGCTTTATTTCAGGTGGTTTGCATAAGACTGACATGATTCATCGACCTGGAGTCTTTATGCATGTTTGACTCATGAAGAGTCATTCAGTCTCATGCAGACCTTCAAATAAAGCCTTACTGAAGCGGTTCGTCTCAAGCTGAAGGAACAGAGAGCCTCCAGCTGCAGCTCCTCGTTTCCCTGATAAGCAGCGTTTCCTTCAGCAGAACAACACAGGCGTCATTATCAGCTTCTTCCTCCTGCAGCCTGTAAACCAGTTTTCTCTGGAAAACAGCAGACCAGGAAAACTGAGTTTTTTTGCTTTGCAAATGAGCAGCAGTGCAGACAAGTTTCCGTTTTTCTCTTCCTCCTCCCCCCGGCAGCAGCGAGGAGGGCAACGCTGCGATCGCAGCGCAGCTCACAGAGGGAGGAAGTCAGAGCAGTAATCTGCAGGTTCAGGCTGGCAGACGCACACAGGTGAGTCCAGCAGGTAAATCTGCTCATGTCCAGCTTTAACTCTGCTGCTGATCTGGCTCTGTGGATGGCTGGAGTTCATCAGGTGGTTCGCTCAGTAACAAGACTTGGAGTTGGTCACGCTTCATGTTTAGATCTGCTTCAGATCCATCATGTCTACCATTATTCAGTTTACTGAGCATTGGAGGAGCTGCAGCGGTTTCACACCTGGAAGCAGGCTGGGAAGCAGCTGCTTCCTTCGGTTCAGGTTTTCTCTCTGTTGTGGTTCAGCGGTTTCTGCAACAGCTTCTTGGTGTGAAGAAACGAAATCTGCAGATCGGCTGTAAATGAGAACGCGTTTCTCAGACGCGCAGGTGAAGGATCTCAGGTGTTCTGCCTCCCAGAGGGATAAATATCCGTCAGACGGACAGAATATTAGAGGTTTTAGGAATTTATAGGTTGACACTTTGATGGGTCTATCTTCAAAGCAGACAATAGAGAAGTGGGAGCAGCTTTCTATCTGAATCACGAGGTTCTGTTCTGCTTTCTAAGCTCTCGTTTTTTCCATTTCTCTGCATGTTTTAAAGCTGATCTGTGTTTTTAGTTTAATTCTGATTCGTCTCCATGTGGACTGATTCCTGGACTCGGGAGGTTTTACCACACATTTATAGAAAAGATTATTCTGTTTGGTATTAAATCTGATTTTAACCGTTCCTGTTTTGGGTTCGTTTGGGTCACAATAATTATTTCAGGATTTAAATCTATTAAAAAGATTTAATCAAATTCTCTAAAATAAAAAAAACGTCCGTCTCATTTTTCTGCCATTTGCCAAACAGAAATAATTTAATGTTTACGGACCTGAAGCAGGAAAAGTTCAGTCTGATTTAATGTCGGCGAGAAAAAAAAGTTTGGATCTTTTAATGTGTCCAATATAAATAACATAATAAATAATCCAGTTTGACGTTTTACAGATTAGGTTGGAAATCCTTAAGTTCAGTCCAGATTCATTAAATCTGCAGTGTGACTTTTTCAGCAGACATTAAATATAAGTTAAATTTAAATATTCCTGATTTCTGCCAAAACAGATTATCCATCAATATGAGGAATCAAACATGTTCAATCAATCAATCAAATTTTATTTGTATAGCACATTTCAGCAGCAGGGCATTTCAAAGAGCTTTATGTAATTAAAGAAAAAAATAAAAACAGCATGTGGCATTGAATAAACTGTGAGAAAGAGAAAGAGATTTTGAAAAATCCCCGTCGCATGACAGGACGAAATTTACAGAGTTTTAGTTAAAACGCCATTTAAAAGAAATTAATAAATAGATAAAAACATTAAAAACATCAAAGACATCAAAACCCTAATTTAGCCATAAGCAACTCTAACCAGGTGGGTTTAAGTTGAGATTTAAAGGCTCTCAGTGTTTCAGCTGTTTTACAGTTTTCTGGAAGTTTGTTCCAAATCTGTGGTGCATAGAAACTGAATGCTGCTTCTCCTGTTTGGTTCTGGTTCTGGGGATGCAGAGCAGAACCAGAACCAGAAGATCTGAGGGGTCTAGATGGTTGGTACAGCAATAACAGATCTTTAATGTATTGTGGTGCTAAACCGTTAGTGATTTATAAACTAACAGTATTTTAAAGTCTATTCTCTGAGCTACAGGGAGCCAGTGTAGGGACTTTACAGCTGGTGTTATGTCTCTATCTTCCTGGTTTTAGTGAGAACAGCAGCAGCAGCTTCTGGATCAGCTGCAGCTGGAGGATTGATTTTCCATGCACAGGGAGAACATGCAGACTCCATGCAGAAAGACCCGGGCCAGGAATCGAACAACAGCTCTACCAGCTGCACCACTGTCCGGGATATAATTTGTGCAGCAAATTTATTTATAAAACCCATTTCAGCAACAGGGTGTAAAAAGAGCTTTACATGATGAAAAGGAAACAACTGGCAAAACGTCACATTACAAAAAAGGAAAGATGAAAAGTTTGAACCCAAACTAAAATTTATGGTTTAGCATAAAAACTGACACTAGTCCTCCGAAGGCCGACTTTGGAACCATCTTTATGTGGCTCTGAAAGTTTGGGTTAGAGGTCACAGGTCAGCCTGATCTCTGGTTTCCAGCTGGAAGAACTGAAGATCTAGATCTACAACTCGATAGTTCCTCTTGAGTTAAAAAGTCGGTTTCTGTTCAGCGGGAAGGTTTGCCTCATCGATCTGCTCTCAGCATCTGATCACGTTTTCACATCACTTTCCTGAACCTTGAAATTGAGACTAAATTTTAGAGGCAGCTCTGAATTAGATGCATTTATTCTGCGGCGTCTCTGCCTGGTGTTAATGTCGCTGCAGCCAGAACAGGACGGCTCTAGCAGGGAGCCCTGAGGGACTCCACTGCGCCCTGCAGATTTAGCTGCCCTGACACCATCTTAGTTTGTTAGTTTGTTTTTTACATGGCATCAATCCGCCCACTTCCTGTGAGACATAAGAATGACTCAATTTGACTAATAAAATCCTGCGGTCTACGGCTTCAAAGGCTGTTTTCATGTCAACAAATTAGTTCCTACTCATTTCTTTGAAGTTTAATTTGTTTTCTTTGAACTGCTGTGATAATTAACTGATCAGAGCAGGAGCCAAACTGCATAAGATGGAAATAAAAAAGATCTTTGTTCACAGTTTGGTTCTCCGCTGTTCTGGAGACGACCACCAGCAGTTAGCATGCTGTTAGCGTAACGGTGTGCTTGCCCTTTAAATATGGGACTGAACAGAAGTCTGTCAGTCAGATGCCAACTTCAGTATCATGAACATTCACACGTTCATTCATTGCCAACTTCTCATTGGATGAAGGTTCAAAACATGAGAAAAAACTGATGGCTAATGTTTTTGTTTGAGAACGCATGCCGCCCCTTGATGGAATGACACCCTGGGCTGTGAGTCGATTTGCCATGGTAAAAAGCAGTCTGCATGGGATGCAGGGCCATTTGTGAAGGGATTAGTTTGTCAGGCTAACCGCCGCCACCTGCCTTCTGTTTACTTCTTGATGTCATGGAAACAGGAGCAGAGCATTAATCTGTTAAAATCCACAAATCAAGAGAAAATTGAAATTCAGACTCTTAGTTTCTGCTGTCATTAGCTGGAGTCTCATCAGTGTCGGGTGTTTGGTAGAAGCAGCATTACCACGTCCTTATCCAATAATCCATGAACTAAATAAAATAACAGGGAATGGGGAGCAATTTGTGATGTTACACAATCAGAGATTAGCAGCAATAATCTGGGTTATTCAAGTTTAAAATTAAATATTTGGTTAGCGAGCTAAATATTTAGCTCAAAGCTAAACACTTTTTACCAAATATCACTACAACATAAATCTTGTTTCTCATGAGGTTTGGGCTCAACATTAACTAAGCAGACGAAAGCAGAAGGCGATTTGTAAGAGGAAGCACATTTCTAAAATTTACCTCAACCAGCCAGGGTGGCCTAATCTGGAATGTTTTCTTGAAGTTTAAGTAACATTTCAGTTTTACTGAATGAATACGAGAGAAATTATTCTACCATAATCCAAGAGCACACACTTTCATTTTGAAAGCAGGACTTCATGTCTTTCTTACCAAAACTTCTCCTCACGCTCACAGAGCAAGTGGCTCTGTCTGCGCTGACAGAGTTCTTGTTCCCGGAGCGTTGGTGGTTAAACCCCTGGAGGAGCTTTAGCCTCTCCTCGATGTCACACATTACGCTGGTTTTATATTATTCTTATTTTTCTGGTTACACGATGCACCAACCCACACCAAATGCTTTGTCCACGTAGCCAGAGTTGATGCGTGCGGCCGAGCAGAGATCTGAAACTCTCGTCCCATAAACTCCAGCAACCAAAACAGTTTCTGAGATTCTTATTAAAACTCAACAGACATGAAATGTCAGAGCTGCTAAAGCCACATTAGCAGCATTGAATTAAATCTCCTGTTTGTTGCTCATCTCTGCTCAGTGCAGCAGATTTACCTCATCCTGCAGGGCCGGTCCAAGGCTGATGAGGCCTGGGGCAGAATCTGACTGAGGGGCCCCATCAGCAGCTCTAACAGCTTCTGTGTTGGATTTAATCTGGGAGACGAGGGGGAGTTTAACTGGCCAAACTAAAAACAATCAGTTATAATCCAGTTTATTAATTTGTATTTGTGAACAAACAGCTCAAACTCAAAGATTTAACTCGCAGCATCAGATTGTTGCTATGGTAACAAAACAATCTATGAATATTGTTCTTTGAACTTTTATAAAATAAACTTGCCAGCTCCTTAAAATCTTACATTTAAATGTTAAACAGTTTAAAATCTTTTAATTTAAGCTGAAAGCATTAAACCAAATTCAGCAGCATTGATCATCTCAATAAATAAATGTTACATTTATGAATCTGTGTTAGAATATCAGCATTTATGGCCCCTGAAGCCCTGGGGGCCCGATGGAGCCGCTGACTTAATTTGGATTAAACAGAAGTGCAAATAACTGATATTCATTTTAATTTTGATTTGATGTTTTTAAGACTAGCTGTGTGTTTATGTGGCATTTTCCTCTAACTTATAACTACCCAGTAATATTTTTACATTTCCTGTCAACTTAACATCTTTTACTATAAAACCACGGTGGACTGCCAGGCTGACAGGTTTACTGGGGGAAACCTTTCACACCTATAATAATAAAAATGTCTGTGCTGAACTGGAGGTTTGTAAAGTTCCTGCCTGCCACCAGATGAAGGCCGAGCTGTGAAGCCAAACATGAATAACTTTACCACAAACAACTTGTTGCTCCCAGTTGTTTTTTTCATGCATGTTGCCACATAAGCAGATATTTCCTTCAACATTTTAATAAACTGAGCAGAAATCTGCCTCAGCATGTGAGCAGCGCGTTCTTATGACTGCTAATGTTTCTATCAACAGTCTGACTGTTTGTGGCTGACTGCAGATGTTTGATGTTTCGATAAGCTGCTTCTCACTTTCGGACGGCAGAGATGGTGATTAATGTTCAGAACCTGACCTCAGTCTGGCCCAGAATGTTTCAGGTTGAAAATAAAATGCGACATACTTTCCATGTGAACCAACGTCTCTGAGATGAAAGGCCACTGATGCAAAAGATAAAACCTCTGATGAGAGGGGTTCCTGTAAATACTGGAGTAGATTCCTGACGTATTTAATCAGATGTGATGATAAAATCTGAAATTCACTATTTAACTTTATTATGTTAAATTATGAACAAAGATAACATAAATTAACAAAGGTTTAATTGAGTTCAGCTAAAGTAAGCTAAAACTAAGATAGGAGATGCTAATAATAGGTACGATCTGTTAAACCAAGCTAAGGTGGGCTAATAGTCATTAATTTAAGTCAATTTAACTTAGATGTGCTAACCTAAGTTATAATACACCAAGCTAAGCTTTAA